CAGGGCCTTATACCAGGCCAGGATCTCAGGTTCCTCTGTTGGCAAGACTAAGGGCCTTATGTCAGGCCAGGACCAGGGCAGGATCTCAGGTTCCTCTGTTGGCAAGACTAAGCTATCTGTTTTAAGAAGCAGCCTTAAATTATAAATTTCATCAGAAGCTTGATTCCAGAGGAATCTTGATCAGGGCAATGCAATATTCATTCCTGATAATTCTATCTTGAACCATTTAATGTCCATCACTAAACTATAGTTTTCCTTTAACAGGGTTTAAACTTGCCTGAGCTGGGCAAAGAACAGCATCAGGGAGCTCTAGCTATAAATTGGCATCCTCCACTCTGACCAAGCCACCTTCCTGTGCAAACATATGGCGCTGGCCCCTATATAATCTGAGATTCCCAACCATGGTTTGATCATACCAAACTTAGCGTGTCCATTGCAAAGCTCTGAACACTTTTAATAGTCTATTTGCTGTCATTTTTGACCTTGGAGGTCTCAGCTTTTTCTTTCAGATGTGCAGGGCTGGGAGACCTCGATGTACTGGTTGTGCAGTTGCTACACAAAAATGATACAAAGAAAAGTTTCACATTAGGACTTCTTTTTTTTATGCTATTATGCAGTTATTTATTACCCCTAAATGCTCACTGTTATTAGGTTCCAGACAGCAATTGGTACCTGATTTCAGACATTTGTATGTCTGTGCCACTTCCACCCTCTCCTCCAGTCTTCTCCCACCACTAGGTGTTAATAGGATGAACCTGCTACTCAGATCAATGTGGGGGGGACCCACAGGGCAGATGGGAGAGATATGGGTGACAGAAGTAGAACAAGGTGTAAGAGAGATGCAGGAGAAATGTCACAAAGGGTAAAGAGGAGATGGGTAGCTCAGAAGAGACCAGACCCTAACAGAGGAGAGCATATTGTTGCTGTCTGTGGCTAAAAGCCTTGGTTGTCATTTCAGACAGATCAACCCAGGGTCCAAGATACCAGCTTTTCTTGTAGAGAATGGAAAGACTATTCAAAAATGTATTCAGCATTAAAAAATAAATAAATTATATAGTCACTGTTTTGGCAGTGTGGGCATTTTAGCAGGGTCACCTGACAAAAAGGAGGCCTTGAAAAAACTTATTTTATTCTCATATCAACACCCTGCAGGCATTTCCCCTGGGTCCATCCCACAGCTCTGCTACCATCCTCCCACCCCTGACTGTCTACAGTAAGATTTATGCAACCAGCTCCAGTGCTTCACCGTAAAACATATTGTCATTTTTCTCTATTCAAACAAGATCATCGAAAGAACTCTACATTTAAAACATGGTGGAAATGATTCACAAAACCAAGAATATCCAGAGTTTTTTCTTGGTTGCAAGTGCCACAGAAGGAAAGCGGTGCTGGATTTGCAGGCAACTTTCAAATATCTCCAAATTTTGAGCTACAAAAAGTCTATTGCACAAGCTCAGCTGGAGAGGGCAAGGCACAGACGGCAGACAAGGTCACTCTGACAACGGGGAACATGCTTTATATGCTGAGCAGCACAGGGCTGGAGGGAGGCAGACAACAAGGGCTTGACGCATTTGAAGTGTCGCTCAAAGTTGAGTCAAGGTTTCTCCTCGTGGAGGTACCTGACAGCTGCAATCACCTTCCTATTTCATGTCAGCATTGATTTCGACTCCAGGTCTTGCAATTCTTCCTGTAATTTATTCACTTCATAGTGATTCACTACATAAAAACAGGTGGAAAAAAATCCCCTCTGATAAAGCACCATGGTTACAGATCTCGGATCCAGCCTTGCTACACTGAAAGCAATGGGAATTTCACTCCTGTCTTTGGGCAAACCCTTACCCACGAGCAGACTCCAAAGTTACGGGGCTCAGTTCCATCCTCATTTACCTCTGCTAAAATCTAGACTGACATTTTGCTTTAAACAAGCTTCAAATTGCTTCTTAAGCAACCGGCTCCTCTGCTTCTGAGATAAGCCTGATGATAAAAGTAAATTCAGTCCCATGTTTAGCACTGCAGCCAGTGAAAATTAAAAGGTGGAAAAGGAAAGCAAAATGAAGTTTATAATGCTTTTTTGTTTCCTCTAGTGCACAGGTGAATTGGAAATGTTTCTTATATAAATTTCAGTGAGATTAGTTATGAAACATGTTTTCTGTCACTCTTTTAAATTGCATCTCCTACAGCTAATCCTGGATTTATGAAAAAAACCAACAAACCTAAACCCAAAAACAAAACACCACAAAAAATCCATCCCTGTCCAACACTGGTAAAGATGTGGAGTCTTTCAGGTTGTATGTGCACCCAAACAGCCTTTCAGTTACTGTGCATAGGTCTGCCCCCCAGAATGTAGGTAGGGATTATTGCTCACTTACTGTTCAGATAGTTTAACACTGTAAAATATTTGAGGACAAATACATATATTTTTAACAACAAAAAAACATTACAACATGCATTTATTTTAGTTGCCTTAAGCTGGGGTCAAAATATTTGAGGACAAATACATACATTTTTAACAAAAAAAAAAAAAAAATTACAACGTGCATTTATTTTAGTTGCCTTAAGCTGGGGTTTGCTTTTGTTGGAATAAGTTTCCTACACTTTGCTACAGCAAAAGGTATTTCCTGAATGTGGGGTTCTGTAGCAAAGCTTAAGGAATGCCTGAGATTCGGCTCTGATTTAAATACCCAGTAATTTTGTGTCCTTTGTACCAAAAGATCACCCTTTTCCACTCCTCCTCTTGGTCCCAGAGCAGCCCATGAACCAGCAGACAGCTCTCTCCCCACCCACCTATGCTGGGGTGCACTCCTTTGGCCAGAAGCTCTAGCTCAAGATCCTCACAAGTTTACCAGATTTTTGGGGCTCTCTGGCAAGAAATGACCAACCAACTTCACCTGTGCCAAATTCCAGCTTTCTGAACACCTCCACAGTGTGACCAAACCCACTACGAGCCATCCTTCCTCGTTTTTAGGAGAGACTGAGAAACTGCAGCTCAGTTCACAAAGCCAACACAACCAAGGTGCCCAGCCCCAGCTGCCCTCGCTCCCACACTCTGCTCTTCCAAAGGCCTGTGCTGCCCTTTGGGATCTGTTGGGAGCCATCCATCCGAGCCACAGGGCTGCAACTAACACTGGGGTTCCTTTAAAAACCCTCTTATTTATCAGGGACTCTCCTGCAACAGGCACTATAAAATCAGTATGGAAGGGGAAGGCTCCAACGGAAGAGACGGATGAGATGGGACTCGGGAGAAAAGCGAAAAGAGAGAGGGAAACTGTGGGGGAAATAAGTTATTTTCATAGTTAGGCAGCATCACTGAATGACAGAATAACACAGGGCTGACAGGGCCTCTGGAGGGCTCCAGCCCAGCCCCTTGCTCACATGATGTCCATTAGGATCCGGCTGCTTAGTTCCTTGTCCGGTTGAGTCCTGAACACCTCCGAGGATGGAGATCCCAATAACTCTCTCTTGGCCTCTGTCCCAGTGTTTGAACACCTCTAGGGTGAAAAAGTTTTTCCTCCTATCTGGCAATTCTTGTCTTCCACCCCTGTTCAGCCAGTTTATGAAAGCCAGGCAATTCTGTGGACATGTACTCCTGCACACATGTATGTTCTTGTTTTCTCTCCTGCCTTTTATATAACTCATTTAATGCTTTTTTTTTGGCTCCGGTTTTATGCAGTAGCTCTGCTACTGTCTGCTTTTCCAATTATAAAACCTCTAAATTTGATTTAAACCTGATAATTATGCTGTGATCTAGCAAAGGCCTTAATTAGCCCTACTGAAGCCTAGGTGTGAGGCATCCTCTTTAGGACCTTAAAAAATGGGCATTTAATTGCATCCAACACTGAGAAAGGTGCAGGGAGGTGAAGTGATTAAGTAGCTAATTCAAGCCACTGGTACTAACAGGATGGGACTTCACGCACTACATCTCGTATAACCCATCCAGAGCAGGATTTTCTGCTCCACCACAAGAGAAAGATGAATATACCAGTTGGTCACTGGTATTGCTCCAAAAGCTTTTCACGTCCTTTGGCTGTTAGAAATCCCGAATCATGATCTGCACAGCGCTCCCCCTCAAGGTCAAGGCATTTCTAGCTGCATTCACTACCCATCAGGACAATTCTGGTCTAGGGGGGTACCTCTTGCTCTCTGGCTATTAGTCTTGTCCAACTAAGTAAAATTTAGTCATAGGAAAAAAAAATAATAAAGCACTGGGACCTCTCCCACCTGGCAGCAGCCAGGAGACAAGTACAGGAAGGAATATTCAGGAGGGTTGGTTTGTCATCCCATGCACTTGGCATTTCCAGCCACCTGAAATAGGTAGTCAGCCCTGTACACAGCCTACAGCTTAGGAGGGGGGAAAGAAAAGTCCTTAACACACTGAACTGTATAGAGGAAGTGTCCTGTAATGTCACCACAGGAACAATGATGTCATTCTGTGCTGCCCTTCTATTTTAATCTTGCCTGTTTATTCATCCCCTAATTCACTGTGTAACCGTGCAGAGCTACCAGGAGACTAAAGCCTGTGGGTCTAAGGTGAAGGCAGGTCTTCATGCTTTGCAGGGACGATCAAGGGCAGGTGCTGTGGCCACCTGCAAGCCAGGTTTTACTCTCTCACATTCTTACTGGGATTTGTCACAGTCAATATGCCAGTAGCTTTCCTCCCTTCCTTTCCTTCCCCAGCACCAGATCCCTGGTTGTCACAGAGCTGTGTGACTTTTGGGAAGGTGAACATTGATGTGCCAGGGATTATCACGCTGATGATAGCTGACGAATGCTTAGCTGGCACCAGGAAGGAATGGGTCCTGAATTTAAGTGCCTTATTCTCAAACACTTTGCTCTTGGTCATGAGAAGCAAAGGGTTTTATACAGACATGAGATGCATATCAGCCTCTGGGGAAAGGCAGTTATGGGAAACAGACTTAAAATTGTTCCAAAATAGGCCTACAATTGTCTTATAAGCCTTTAGCCCAGTCCAGAGGAAAAAGTCTGTGTTTATCTTTCTTTAGGGCTTCACAACACCCAGCTCTAAATGTCACTAGCACGCAGAGGAACAGGAGTGACCATAATGCTCAGAAAATACCCCCATTCGCTACGTCAAGCTCTTCCAGTGACATATCAAGCAGCTCTTCACTTTCATCAGAACCGACCAGCCAGATCTCCATGGTTCAGGATCAAACCCTGCTGGACATTGCCTCCATCGCTAGATTGGCCCCGGGAGAATCACCAAACCCTCAACCATTTGAGCAAAGAGAGGAAATTTTAGCAATATCGTGTTCCAGCCCACTGGGAGCAAGGACTATTCCAGCACCTCGCCCAGCCAGCCCCAGGCTCAGTCTAACCCCCAGCTCAGCCAAGCCACAGCAATACTCTGACTCCTCACCGCTCAGTCCAGGGATCAACGCAACCTCCTCCTACACCTTCTGTCCTCACACAGCACAGAGCGTACGAGCTTCAGCATCGGATCACACACCGACCCCAACCAGGACAAGCACAAGGCCTCCAGCAACAACGACTCCTGAAGACAGTTCCCAGTCTCCTGGCTATTCTAAAACTGGATTAAAGAATACAGGAAAGGGTTTTGAATCAGATCTGGAAGATCCTGATCATGAACGGTATGTATCCAGACCATACACATGTTTAAGTCCTCAAATGACTCAACTTTGTATAGGGTCATTCAGAGCCCCTCATGAAAAAAAATTAAATATCTTTTATGATTTAAACGTACCCAGTCTTTGTTTTCCAGTAACTACCCAGTGCTCCCACTAAACCCTGTTATCCAAGAAGCAAAACACCACATTTTCCATCCATTCATTTAGCTCTCCAGACCCAATTACAGACCATCCCTGGGCCGGGTTGTCAACCTCAGCTCCTCTAACAGCTTTAAGGTGCCTCATTTCCTTCCAAAGGAGAAAGCACATCTCTCCCTGTAGTAGCAGAGAGAAACTCTGCTGGTGCCATGAAGCCTGACAGATAAGAGCTGGGGATGGTATTCGGTGACATGGCCGGTGTCTCCCTTCTCAAACCTCAGGCTCTGCGGTCCGACCCCAGGCAAGCTGGGCTGATTGCACTCCTCTCAACTCCACACTGTGTCTGCCACTTCTTTCCTTGGCAGGAGATTTGTAACCACGAAGGAATTCCAAGCCATGGAGAAAGAACTTGAGGATGTAAAAGAAGAACTGAAATGCTTGAAGTGGAAAGTGAGACACATTGGTGAGACTGTGCAGCCCCTGGCTGAAGACAGCAAGCGTTACAACGGCTACACCCTGACGGAGCTCAAGGCCATGGTGCAGTCTGAAGATGACCCTTACAAGGCTGCACACAAGATCCTAACCGCGCTCTTCAGCGACGTCTGCTTGCTACAGCACTCAGTCACTGACCAGGCCTGCAACTCCCGGTCTCTGCCCAAGCCCAAACTGGACCCAGAGCTGTACACGGTGTACTGTGACATTCTGAAAAGCATATTCCCTGGAATTAGCAGCCAGACCTTGAGGGAAGAGACACAACACGTGCAGAAAAGCAGCCAGAAAGAAGTGCAATAACACCAGAGCCCACAAGATGTTCTGCAAAGTGACAAGTCTCTAATGATTTTAGAGGGCTGAACTGTAGTAGGTACCGTTGGTTGAGTCTATCCCTTTTAGGTGTGAATCATCCGTAAAGGTATTGGTGAGCTCTGAGCCCTTCATGCCACTTGCCCAATGAAATGGGGTGGGAAGGCATTCTGCATAATTCCCACTTTTTAGAAAAAAATTGCCCCCTTGGTGTTCTCTTTCAATGTATGGACATTTCCTTGTTTCCAGCAACTACAAAGGCTGACAAAAGAATCCAGAGAAGGCACCGTATGTCTAAGCAAGGGCCTTCTCCCAGCCCCAAACAGACCAACCAACCAGCATCTGGGTAGTTTCTATTTTCTAGAGTATATCATTCATTAAATAACATTACTTGTTAGAAAATTGTGCCTGTTCTTTTTTATTGATTTTTTTTTTTTGGTCTAAAAATGCTTTGCACATCAAATCGATTAACAATCATAACTTGAAACCACACAGGGATGAGAGCTGGGCATGCAGCAAACCACCTTCCCTGCCCATCTGCACCCCGGGGTACACAGGAAGAACATGGATGGGGCTTTGAGCAGCCTGGTCTAGTGGGAGGTGTCCCCCCATGGCAGGAGTTTGGAAGAAGATGATCTTTAAGGTCCCTTCCGACTCAAACCATTCTGTATTCTATGAACACCAGGACACAAGTGTTGGCAGCTTGGACCCAGCAGATCTCCATCCAGGTAACTGGGGGCCAGGGTGTAAAATATGCATATGTCCCTAAATCACCAACCCACCAGTGAAACAGGTAGAGGTCTGTGACCTCCACCTCTCCCCATCTCCTATGACTGAGCTGACAGAGCAGCTCACATGCAACTGTGCTTCGCCTTCCCGTGACAATGACACTGAAAGGCTGGTCCCTTGCAAAGACCTCACAAGGTGATGGCTGCTATGGAGCCTGCCCCAAGGAAGGTGGCTGCTGGTCACAGAGGACACAAAGGAAAATGGCCCTAGGGCTCCTTCCTCCCCATCTGGGAGCCAGCAAAGCACAATGGATGAACAACAGTTTGTCTGTCAGGTTCTGCTCACAGGGCTGGCCTTGGAACCTGTTTTGTAAAGAGCTGGTGAGGGTGGAGGGATGTCCCTGTGCTGTTTTGCTCAGTACCAATGGAACATACTGCTTTCCTACCCCACTGGTTCAGCCACTCCCTTTCAGAGCATCATTGACACTTCTTGGAAACAGTCACTTCCCAGGTCTCAATATGACAAATACATCAAAACCCAGAGCACATCTGTCCCCAGGGCCGTACCTGCCGCAGCAGCCCGAGTGATCGGCTGCGGGGAACCTGGGAAAAAAGCAACAGGACATACCCACTGCAGCCTCCCTGTCCAGACTCCCTGCTTCCTTCTTTTTGTCTGCCGAGTTTGTACCTTGAAGGCAGCTCTGTCTCTGTGAAGATGGTTTGTTCTTCAGTGACTATATTATCTGCGCCGTTGTGACCATCTCCAGTACTCGAGCCACTTTCCCCAATGTTTCTACAGGGAGAAAAACCCACTAATTTTCTATTCATTTTACCAAGCATTCCTGTTGTTTGTATTCCTACACATTACCAAGTCCTTTAATCCTTTTACAAGCCTTGGCTTTCCTAAGCTAAGCTGGCTTTGCTTACCTAGGTTTGCTGGGGAGAGAAGCACAGCAGTCTTCCCACCGTTCTGAAGAGCTTTTCTGTGTCCAGTCTATTTTTTCTATCATCACCCACTCCTAATGCAAGAGGAGGACGAGGGCTGAACGCCTACACCTGCAGAAAGAGACCTTCTTGGAGGGTGACAGAACTGAGTCAGCATAACAGAAATAAGGCAGCAATATCTTAAATACACGAGCCTGAAAGCTATTTTTTTGCACCCTGTGCTTGCCAGAATTGTGTCCTGTTACAAGCATATTCTGTCTTAAGAGTTTAGGTCTTGCTGCCTGCTATTCAGACAGAAAGGCAATTACACAGTCCCATTATTCTGACAGTTAAAAAGATTCTGCCATTGTTCTTCTTGGACAATTCATACTGATTTGCACTGTGCCTGCATTGCTGCTTGGCCCAAATAAGCCTTCTCTCCAAAATGTTATCACCTTCACTTGTATAGAGACAGGCAGGGAAGGCAATCAGACACAGGGTGAAAAATTAGGCTATAAATCCATGTTGCGTTCCATCTATTCTCCATTAAACTATATAACTCTATTTTTTCCCTTGAGCACCCACTACCAAACCAAATGATTCTTCTCCTTTCTTAACTACAGCCATTATATTTGCTATTCTTCAATCACACCCAGACCCAGAGATTCATTAGCGTTACTCTTATTCAAGCGACACGCTCTGCCTGCTATGCATTCATCCCTGCGGGTAACCCGGGACCTGAGAGCCACGGCACAGGTTGTCTTTCCCTCTGCCATCTCCAGGAGCAGGCGTCTAGGCAGAAGTGTGAGGACATGAATACTTTTTTCCAGCCTCAGGCGAGCTGTAGTTTGTACTGATTGATTGCGTTAAATAAGCAACCTATTAATATTCACCACGCTGTGGCTCGGTAGGTTTCAGTTGGCAGAACAGATTCTACAGCAGCCAAGTTGTGTTAAACACAGGGTCCTGATCCATATAGGTCATAGAATCACACAATAATTTAGGCTGGAGAGAGCCTCTGGAGGTCAATTGGTCCAACCCCCCTGATTAGACAGTATTGTGGTAAAAGAACCCAAACAATGAAATCTGTGCTGCAAAATCTGAACCATTGCAATACAACAAATATCTGACAGCAACTGAAAAGAAAAAAGAATGACAAAAAACGAGCAAAGCCACAAAAACAGCCTGCACTGGAATCGCGTGCAGATCAGATCCACCACAGGAAAATCTGAGACATTCTCTTCTCCCGGCAGCACTGTGCTGGGACATCATCTAGACAGGGGCTCTCCCCAGGCTAATCAGCCTGTAGAAACTTAATTTACATCTGCATCAGTGGGTAAGGAAGATAAATGGCAAAGTTTCTGTGGCATTGTTTTGGAGGGCTCTTTACTATCGTCAGATCTATATGCGTTGCCAATTCATTTTTCAGACTTCTCATTAATATTTGTAATGCATAATTGCAGTCAAAATCAGTCACTGAATCATACCTTTTATGACCTCATGCTTACCCCTTCATACTGTTAATAATATCCCTGCATAACGGGAACCCTTTCTGCAAAAAAGTCCACCAGCCCTTCTGGTTTATGACTTAAAACACAGCAGAACTAGACTTAGGCAACTGTCAACATCTTTATATTAGTTGTCGGCATCATCTGTACTGAAATCTGAGTCACAAGGGTTTGGGTGGTGCTATTAATTACCATTAATCCCTTCTCACGATGTGCTCTCTATAGATTTATACACCTAGTTTCTCTTGCACACACCAATTCAGCCTGTCTTTACTTTCACATTAAACCTACACTCTTTGCTTCCCAAGGAGAAACTGCCTCTGGGGACCCTTTTCCATTTCTTCTATCTGTATGCTTCTATGAGCTGGAGCCCTCCCCTAGGGCCCTCTTCTCCCCTTGGAGTTTGACAGGCAAACAAGTGTCCAACAAGTCGTGCCCCAACCCTTATTCTCAAACCACCAGCAGATGACCAAGGTGCAGATCTCCCTAGGGCCTTACTGCAACTCCCCCAGGAAAAAGAGTGACACCAGGAGATCCCAAAGGACTTTGGACAGAACACACAAGGACAGAGCATGCACTGATCTACCCGAGTACTGTACTGACAAATGCAGATCTGAGCTTCCTGCACATTTATTGTGAACAGCACATTTTCTCGGTGCCCCAATGAGAGCGATTAAAATACATATCAATGTCTTGCTGGGTCAGTAGGTTTTGATCAGATCTCTCCGTTTGTGTTAATATTCAGATACATTACCATCCCAGAGAGATGAATAATAGGAGCTATTTCGTGTCTCTGACAATATTAAACATAATGAAGAGTCTTACTATCATCCCACATCCTTCTCCATGAATTCTGGCCACAGACAGATCTCCTGTTGGTAATGGAAATGTCAGTTTGATTCATCTGTTCACCAACTAAACCCTACCAAACAGTTTCCAGTATATAGCAAGCCACCCAAAAACATTCCTTTGGAAACAAGCCAGAACCAACATTCATTGTAAATTAATTTTTTACCACTGATTAGGCTTATACCATTTCAGGTAGCTTTGCTACTTACTCTATTTTTAGCAGTGCCTCCAGCAGACCAGGAAAGAGGCAGATCATAAGACTTCTGCTAATCTGCAAATCTGAAATTATAGTTGGGAGACTGAATTTATGATTATACAGCTAGATGACGACAGCAGAGATGACCTTTCTGCAATGCCAAAAGTCTTATCCACACTGATCTAGGCCTTTAATCAGAGGGAGAAAGTATAGATTATTATATGCCAAAGGAAAAACTTTTTCCCTATACAGACAAGTATTAAACCAGAGAGGTTGTGCAGATTCCATCCCTAGAGTTTTTCCAGGCCAGACTGGTTGAAGCCCTGTGTAACCTGGCCTGACTTTTGCGAGGTGAAAAAAAAAAAAAAAAAAAAAAGTTTAAAGAAACCTTTAAAGATAGATAACAATTGTGAAAAAAAGTATACAGCAAGCTCAGAGGCCTACAAATGCTGTGGATTTATGAAAAGAACAACTATAACTAATATTATTCTAACTCCTGACAACCCTTAGGGCGTTTGGGAGGGGAAAAAAAAAAAAAAAAAAAAAAGGTTTGTAACTGGGGAAAGCAGCCAGGAAAATCTTTGATGAATGGGAGCACAGGGCCATGAATAACAGGCAGGAACAGCACCCATCAGTGTTTTACACTTGCTAAGGCGCGCTCCACACAAGCGGGGCTGACAGCCGGCGGAGCCGCAGCCCGGTCGCTGTGCTGCTGACTCATTTTCCTGCCAACCACCCCGTGCACTCGGAGAAGCTGCTGTGCCCGTGCTGCCTCAGTCCTCACCCTTTTTGATGGGAGATGAAACCTCTCTCCAGCTCAAGATGAAAGTTCTTTCCTCGGCTTGTTACAGACAGAAACATCTGTTCCCGCAGCCACCTTATGCTACCATTGGGCAGAAGAGAAATCTTACTGAAAAAGATAATAGGGCTCAACTGCTCCCAGTTCATTATCTCTACCACAGGAAACAACTCTTCTCCCAGGTACAATGATCCCCTTGGGTGAAGAGTCGTTTCCCTGAGAAACCCTCACAGCAATAGCAGCTTATGTTCTCCTACCCTCACGCCTTCCACGCCTGCTTTCTGAGCCTTGGACCAGGATCTGTTTCAGCTCCAGCTGCACCGACTGGGATACAGTGTGGAGAGGAGTTCAGTCCGTAGTGCTTAGTTGGGCTCACACTCTCAGGAGGCAGCAGCTGA